GTCAAACGAATGGCCCGACGGAGGGCGTTAAGGGTTTGAAGGCTGGCAAACGGCAGGCTTGAACGCCCTAACAACAAAGGGCTATGTGCATGCAAAGGGCAAGCTGCAACCCTGGAACAGCAAAGGCTGACGGCCAGAGGGCTTGGTGGAAGCTGCCGCGAGGGAGCTGCAGGGTTTGAAGAGTTTTAAGTGTTTGAAGCCTGGCAAACGAATGCCCCAACGGAGGGTTTTAAGGGTTTGAAGGCTGGCAAACGGCAGGCTTGAACGCCGTAACAACAGAGGTCTATGTGCAGGCAAAGGGCAGGCTGCAACCCTGGAACAGCAAAGGCTGACGGCCAGAGGGCTTGGTGGAAGCTGCCGCAAGGGATCTGGAGGGTTTTAAAGACTTTTAAGTGTTTGAAGCCTGGCAAACGAATGCCCCAACGGAGGGTTTTAAGGGTTTGAAGGGTTTGAAGGCTGGCAAACGGCAAGCTTGAACGCGCTAACAACAGAGGGCTATGTGCAGGCAAAGGGCAGGCTGCAACCCTGGAACAGCAAAGGCTGACGGCCAGAGGGCTTGGTGGAAGCTGCCGCGAGGGATCTGGAGGGTTTTAAGAGTTGTAAGTGTTTGAAGCCTGGCAAACGAATGCCCCAACGGAGGGTTGTAAGGGTTTGAAGGCTGGCAAACGGCAGGCTTGAACGCCCTAACAACAGAGGACTATGTGCAGGCAAAGGGCAGGCTGCAACCCTGGAACAGCAAAGGCTGACGGCCAGAGGGCTTGGTGGAAGCTGCCGCGAGGGATCTGGAGGGTTTTAAGAGTTTAAGAGGTTTAAGTGTTTGAAGCCTGGCAAACGAATGCCCCAACGGAGGGTTTTAAGGGTTTGAAGGCTGGCAAACGGCATGCAGGCAAAGGGCAGACTGCAACCCTGGAACAGCAAAGGCTGACGGCCAGAGGGCTTGGTGGAAGCTGCCGCGAGGGATCTGGAGGGTTTTAAGAGGTTTAAGTGTTTGAAGCCTGGCAAACGAATGCCCCAACGGAGGGTTGTAAGGGTTTGAAGGCTGGCAAACGGCAGGCTTGAACGCCCTAACAACAGAGGACTATGTGCAGGCAAAGGGCAGGCTGCAACCCCGGAACAGCAAAGGCTGACGGCCAGACGGCTTGGTGGAAGCTGCCGCGAGGGACCTGGAGGGTTTTAAGAGTTTAAGAGGTTTAAGTGTTTGAAGCCTGGCAAACGAATGCCCCAACGCCAACGGAGGGTTTTAAGGTTTTGGAGGCTGGCAAACGGCAGGCTTGAACGCCCTAACAACAGAGGGCTATGTGCATGCAAAGGGCAGGCTGCAACCCTGGAACAGCAAAGGCTGACGGCCGAGGGCTTGGTGGAAGCTGCCGCGAGGGAGCTGGAGGGTTTGAAGAGTTTTTAAATGTTTGAAGCCTGGCAAACGGATGCCCCAACGGAGGGCTTTAAGGGTTTGAAGGCTGGCAAACGGCAGGCTTGAACGCCGTAACAACAGAGGGCTATGTGCAGGCAAAGGGCAGGCTGCAACCCTGGAACAGCAAAGGCTGACGGCCAGACGGCTTGGTGGAAGCTGCCGCGAGGGACCTGGAGGGTTTGAAGAGTTTTAAGTGTTTGAAGCCTGACAAACGAATGCCCCAACCGAGGTTTGTAAGGGTTTGAAGGCTGGCAAACGGCGACTTGAACGCCCTAACAACAGAGGGCTATGTGCAGGCAAAGGGCAGGCTGCAACCCTGGAACAGCAAAGGCTGACGGCCAGAGGGCTTGGTGGAAGCTGCCGCGAGGGATCTGGAGGGTTTTAAGAGTTTTAAGTGTTTGAAGCCTGGCAAACGAATGCCCCAACGGAGGGTTTTAAGGGTTTGAAGGGTTTGAAGGCTGGCAAACGGCAAGCTTGAACGCGCTAACAACAGAGGGCTATGTGCAGGCAAAGGGCAGGCTGCAACCCTGGAACAGCAAAGGCTGACGGCCAGAGGGCTTGGTGGAAGCTGCCGCGAGGGATCTGGAGGGTCTAAGAGTTGTAAGTGTTGGAACGAATGCCCCAACGGTGGGTTTTAAGGGTTTGAAGGCTGGCAAACGGCAGGCTTGAACGCCCTAACAACAGAGGACTATGTGCAGGCAAAGGGCAGGCTGCAACCCTGGAACAGCAAAGGCTGACGGCCAGAGGGCTTGGTGGAAGCTGCCGCGAGGGATCTGGAGGGTCTAAGAGTTGTAAGTGTTGGAACGAATGCCCCAACGGTGGGTTTTAAGGGTTTGAAGGCTGGCAAACGGCAGGCTTGAACGCCGTAACAACAGAAGGCTATGTGCAGGCAAAGGGCAGGCTGCAACCCTGGAACAGCAAAGGCTGACGGCCAGAGAGCTTGGTGGAAGCTGCCGCAAGGGATCTGGAGGGTTTTAAAGACTTTTAAGTGTTTGAAGCCTGGCAAACGAATGCCCCAACGGAGGGTTTTAAGGGTTTGAAGGCTGGCAAACGGCAGGCTTGAACGCCCTAACAACAGAGGGCCATGTGCAGGCAAAGGGCAGGCTGCAACCCTGGAACAGCAAAGGCTGACGGCCAGAGGGCTTGGTGGAAGCTGCCGCGAGGGATCTGGAGGGTCTAAGAGTTGTAAGTGTTGGAACGAATGCTCCAACGGGTGGTTTTAAGGGTTTGAAGGCTGGCAAACGGCAGGCTTGAACGCCGTAACAACAGAAGGCTATGTGCAGGCAAAGGGCAGGCTGCAACCCTGGAACAGCAAAGGCTGACGGCCAGAGGGCTTGGTGGAAGCTGCCGCGAGGGATCTGGAGGGTTTTAAAAGTTTTAAGTGTTTGAAGTGTGGCAAACGAATGCCCCAACGGAGGATGTTAAGGGTTTGAAGGCTGGCAAACGGCAGGGTTTGAAGGCTGGCAAACGGCAGGCTTGAACGCCCCAACAGCAGAGGGCTATGTGCAGGCAAAGGGCACGCCAATGCTGGAACAGCAAAGGTTGACGGCCAGAGGGCTTGGTGGAAGCTGCCGCGAGGGATTTGGAGGGTTTTAAGAGTTAGAAGGGTTTGAAGCCTGGCAAACGGCAGGCTTGAACGCCCGAACAACTGAGGGCTATGTGCAGGCAAAGGGCACGCTGCAACCCTGGAATTTGAAGAGTTTTAAGGGTTTGAAGGCTGGCAAACGGCGACTTGAATGTCCTAACAACAGAGGGCTATGTGCAGGCAAAGGGCAGGCTGCAACCCTGGAACAGCAGAAGCTTACAGCCACAGGGCTTGGTGGAAGCCTTGGACAATGTGAATGCCATGGCCGTGACAAAGCAGGTTCCACACCTCCGGTGGTCCCAGGCGCCGCCCCTGCCTTGGCGAAGGCCGGGGTCGGCGGATAATTGAAGTTTTGAATTTATTATTAGGGCCGGTTCGAAAACCAATTTTTGGCAATATTTTAATTGCGTTATAAAAGGTAATGTAACTGATTTTGAAATCGGAAAAAATAGTTTCTATTATGCTTTTGAATTTATTATTAGGGCCCGCTTCGAAATCCAATTTTTGGCAATATTTTAACTGCGTTATAAAAGGAAATTTAATTGATTTTGAAATCGGAAAAAAAAGTTTTTATTATGGTTTTGAATTTATTATTAGGGCCCGCTTCGAAATCCAATTTTTGGCAATATTTTAATTGCGTTATCAAAGGAAATTTAATTGATTTTGAAATCGGAAAAAATAGTTGTTATTTTTAAGGTGTTAAAATCTATTAATAGGGTTCCCTAATAAGAAATACATATAAATACCCCCTTAATAATAAAAACTACCTGAGGTGTTTATTATTTGGGGATGGGGGGTTTAGTATTAGGGGGAAGGGATTATCCTCAGTACCCAAGCAGTAATTGCTAAGAGCGACGGGGGCTTCTCGTGGCAGAGTACCAGAGCCGGAGCACGTCAGCTGTTCTGCCGTGGGCTCCTGGATGCCCTCGATGCTGGGACTTCGAAAACTTCCACGAAAGGCGGTGGTGTCGGTGTCCTGATGGCCGCGCAGCACAGCGGCCGGGCCCGCCAGGCCCTCATTTCTTCGCAAGGCTTTCTCATCCATATCTATATATCCAGAGTCTAAACTAAGCTCTTGCAATGATTCTGTTCGATCTTGATAGCAACTCAAAAAGAAACGCACAGATCTCATTTTCATTTTGCGGTGAAGACAGTCTTGTCTCTGAACAAACACTTGTAATCATTTATCATTTATGTCTCACAAGAATTCCTCACCACAATTTGCAAATTTCGACCCGGCATGGCACACGCACCTCAGCCAAGACGAAGAAGGGGAAGATCGCAAGGAAAGCGGTTACTGCCCCTGGAAACATGGCCACTTTTCGAGCAACTTGGAGGAAGCGCTGCCGGGCCTTGTTTGATCCAAACTCAGGCGATTGAGAGCTGTGTGAAGCTCTGTGAAGCTGTGTGAAGCTGAGTGAGTGCGGTTGTCGATGAGAATATCGCATTCACAGCTCAATGGAATTTAATGACTTCTTGCATCTGCTATTAGATTGAAAACTAGCAGTAATTGATCCCTGAAGTGTTCTGTGCACTCTACTCACTCTTTCTTGTCACATGGTGCCATTCTGTGTACATGCTGTGCACATGCCAATGTCAGTAAATTTTCCTATTTCTCCAATTTGTTCAATCTTTCAAACTGCACATTTGAACTGTTCAAAAGTATTTTATAAACATTTGAACTGTTCAAACTTTTTCGGCGAAGCCGCGGTGTCGAGTCGAGCCGTCGCCACGTGTTGCGCGAGGGCCGGTGAGACAGAGCAACAGAGCCACAGAGCCGACTGAAAAAGGACAGACTCAGATAGACGATTTGAAAAATGAAATCTGAGGACAAATCGGACGAGGTCAGAGATATTAACAGATATTGACATATCATTTGTCATCTCTTGATGCAATCTCCTTTCAAATCATGTGTTTTCAGCTTAGTATACAAATAGATACAAATTAAATAGTATACATCCATACCTGTAATCTATGACTGCCTACATCTAGAAAACTACAATACTCCAATCTAAAAGATTGCAACAGAAGTCAACTCAATCTAAAGCGATCTACGGACTCAACATGACTCAACTATCTACGTCAACTCAATCTGTCGAAGTGCGCTCACTCTCAACCTGTCCACCTGCTGCAGAACGGGAATCACCCAGTAAGGATCAAGATGGATCAAGATGGATCAAGATGGATCAAGATGGATCAAGATGGATCAAGATGGATCAAGATGGATCAAGGAGCCGTACACTGTGATTCAAAGGAGTCATTTTGGATACGAAGCTGACAACAAAGCAGGAAAAAAGGCAATCGAGCCATTGAAAAGTATTGCTCTTGATTGGCACCAGACAAGCTGACACAGTCTGACACAGTTGATGTTGACAAAGCGCAATCCAAGCCACTGTCCATCGCACCAGGCAGCTCAACTATTGGGGCGCCTGGGGTTCGCAGCTTTGATGAACTTCGAGCTGCCCGAAATTCCAAAGTCTTGGAATCCGAACCACTTCACAAAAAATATCAAAAAATCCATTGGAAACTTTCTCCAATCTTCAAGAAAACCATTCCACAAAAAATCACTCGACTGTATCGACTGTGCCTTTGGGAAGCGGTGGATGAAGTGGCTGGTGTTTCGGCACTGCCATAGATAACCTCGATAGATCTCGATAGCTCATGGCAAGTTGTGTAAACAGCGGAAGCAACAACACAGTCAACACAGCTGCTCAGCCCATTCTAAAGCCCATTCACCACCCCAAATCACTCAGAGCAAAAGCAAATATTTTGAGCCACTCTCGCAAGGTGGCTGAGTGATGCAAAACTTTCTCTTTAAAAAATATTGCATTTTGGACGTGGCAAGTTCTGAGCCATTATGACCAACTATGGGGCCATCTAATGTTACAAGCGCTATAGCGTTCTGCTGCGAATGGTTGGCGCGTCATGCAGTACGAATCAGCTATCTCGCCTTTGGGAATCTTTGCAAAAACATTCTTTGTGGAAAGCTAGGCAACTAGTTTTTGCATGTTTGAGGAAGCTCAGTCGAAGCTCAGTCTCTTTGGGAGTATATCAAGCACTCAGCATAACGCTCATCATAGCAGCATGTCGTTACGTGTACCGAAGTTTCTCTGTTTGGACATGGATCAAAGCGTCCACACCATGATCCTCTTCCAGTGCTCTTATTGTTCTGGCAGTTTTTGCTGCCCGCACAAGGATATGACAATGTGTTACCACGCCGTTTTGATCCGCTTCAAAGTGATACACTGCGAATCGCCTGATGTCAAGGCATGATTGACTGTGATCCCCACTACGCCTCGTGTACGACTTTTGCCCAATAGTATGCATATATGTTTTGAATTTGTTTTAATATGCTTTAGAGATGAATCACCCCATCAGAGACACTGTGTTGTTCCCTTGTTCCAAGAGTTGTCCCTTGCAGCTGGGTTGCTGAGATCCTTCTTTGAAGGATGGAGGTGATAGCGGTAGAGACGAATGCGAAGCCTCTCTTGGCGGGAGTGGAGGCATAGGAAGATTGCCAACCATTGCCTTGGTCAATCTCTGTCAATCTGAGGTGAGGTGCGATGGTGCGATGGTGCGATGGAGTGATTTGGGTCCTGAGCAAACTTTCATGACATTGCGACTTATGCAATTATGAGGAATCGATAGGAATTATGCCATTCTAGTGCAAAATTGATATGCTGTAGATTGTTGTACAATGTTGCACAATAACTTACTGGAAGCTTTTTTGCCATCAGGCTGCTGCAACAGGCAGAGGAGGAGCTTTGGCAGTGGACCTTAAAGTCGGTTCGGTGCCGCTCGCGGCCGGAGCACTGGGTGGCGAAGTCCCTGGCGATGGCCCTGGCCCTGATGGCCCTGATGGCCCTGGTGGACTCGGCAAAGCCCGGGTGGGGCTCTGTGGAGCTCGTGCCCGTCGACCGGGTCGAGGAGGTGGCACTGGCAGCTGCTTCACTTCTCTCGGCTGAGGCGGTGGCGGTGGGGGGTCCTCAGTTCCAGGAGTTCCAGGAACTCCAGGAGCCGACTTGGCCAGAGACAAAGAGGAGCCCAACGAGGAACCCAGAGAGCCCATAGAGCCCAAAGTTGCCACGGCAAAGTCGTTCTTCCAATCCGAGAAGGCCTGGTCCACTTGAACTTCGATCTTCTCTGCGTTGACCATTGGAGGTGGCAAGGTGGACAGCACGGCTGACTCCCGCACCCATGGTGGAGGACTTGGGGGTGGTCGAGGTGGTGCACTTGGCACAGATCGCTTGGGAGGTGGGGGAGGAACGATATCTGCTGGAGAGTCTGGAGAGTCGGCAATCATGCCAGGCATACCAGCTGATACGATATCTCGAAGTTCTTGTGCGAAGTTTTGGAAATACTCTTGTTTCTCAACAGATGGCTTTGGCACAGCAAAGCGTGGTGGCAGGTGCGGAGGGCTGCCAGACTTGGAACGCACCGAGAAGGCTTTGCTCGGTGGTCCAGATGGAGTGCCCTGACCTTCTTTGACCAAGTCGTTGGCCCAGTCCCAGAAATGATCTGCAGCATCTTGTTGTGCTCTACCAGAAGCCTGCGGCTTGCTTTCCCAAGCTTCCTTTGGCTCTGTGGAGGGTTCAATGCCAACCTTGGATTTCCTCATCTTATCCTTCATCTTTTGGCAATTTTCGGAGACCTGTTTCATGATTTTCTGCGGCATTTCAGGCTTCTGGACCTTGACATTGCCCACATAGCACTGCCAACCGATGACAGAAACTACCACTATCAGTGCGACAGCTGCCAGCGTCACTCCAACCACCATACCATCGTCTGTGGCAGGGATGGCCGGTATAGATGTTGATGTCTCCGTTGTCATGTATGTTCTTGTAGTTGTACCTGTCGTGCTGGTGAAAGTGGCTTCTAGCTTCACAGGGATATAGATCGCTGCATAGGAACCACCACCGGTTGCTGCAAAGCATTCTACGGTTGTGGCATCGTAGGAAGTTGGCAAGAGCCAAGTCATAGAGTCCGTGGTCCACTCCTGTGCGGGCGCATTACTCGGCATTACTCATGTGGCATGATGTGGCATCATGCAGCCTGTACGAGCTGCGCTAATGACAGTGTAGCACTCAGGATGTTGTGATGATTCTGGAGTTGGTTGCTATATGTTGCTATACATATGGTTCTATATATGCATGTATATGTTGCTACACAATGCTACATATATATATATGTATATTATATGTATGTTGTTCGTATTTTGTTGTTTTCCTGCCTTTCTTTTCGGATCCCGAGATCCCGAGATCCGAGACCCGAGATCGGTGCCTGTTTCGGGAGATCTGTTGACGTCTCATCCAGTCGAACACAGACGGGCTCGTAGGAGTAGCCCTCTGGGGGAATCCCTGGCGCTGCATTCCTCGGTGCAAAATGGTGCAGGACAGCCTACAGTGCCTACAGTGCCTATGTGTCAGCCTACAGATATGACACATATGAAACATATGAGACAGATGAGACCTGGAAACCCACCATGTGCAGATCATTTTTCGTAGGGGAACCAAAGGGTTCCATATAGATGTTGATTAATTTTGATTAATTGGAGTGTAGCCATCAGCTATCAGCACCTGTGCATGTGTGCCTCTGTGTTCTGTGTGTGCATGCACTTGTAGATATGCTTGTGTGTCCTTCTCCCGTGTCCCTGTCTACACTGCCCATATGAAGCTGAGTTCGAAAAAGGAACATGGAAGAATCGAAGAATCTGTCAAGCTGATCCTGAAACACCGAATTTTAAAAAGTCCGCGATGAGTCAAGCAATGAGTTGTGAATCTGTCAAGCAACAGTGGCAGTGTGAGAGCGATTGGAGGGTCCCAGTTGGAATGACGAACCAAGGAGTCGCATCGCTTGATCTCCAGGGTTGTCACAGTTGCAGAGTTTTCCACATACGCGTTTTGCCCGATACCTGCAGTCGAGATCAGTCGAGCAGGGCATTCGTCACAGTGGTCATGGTGGCTGTCACAGCTGGTCACCGCTGTCACCGCTGTCACCGGAAACACAAAATGTCTAAGCCGAGTAGCTGGACTGCAAATAGGTGAATGGATTGCCTTGGCCGAAAATCATGCCTTGGTCACCTGATGTTACCTATGACAAACATGGCACTCTCACGTCATTTACGTCATTACAGTCAGTTCTATTCATTTGTGCCAAATCTTGCCTGCTAAATCTGGCTGGTGAGATCCTGTGACCATACTTCAGTTTCTCTTCATGGCCGTCATGGCTTCAACTCCATCAACTACCACGTGCCACCGCCACTTCTTCTTTCTACAGTAAATAATTTTAATATCTCCGTGTGGTGCCGGGGGTGGCGTGGAACCCCTAAAAAATAAAATGAAATGCAGGGGTCTAAGAACAAAATGTCAATAAAATATAATAAAATGATAGGACATAGGGGTCAAAAAGGTAAGATAGGAAAATCCAAGCAAAACACACTGGGCAAACACAAAGAGAATATGGCGTCGGGCCTCCCACCTGGCAACTGTTGGACGTCAGGCCCCGGCATTGTTTTTTATTTTGTGTGTATTGTGTATTGTTTGTTATATTTCCTTAGATCGTTGACAGACATTTGTACAGTATGATATGCGTAATCATTACAGTTTCAGAACTTAATTCATCTCTAGCATTTTTGTTATACATTAGGATTATCGTTCTTACTCACGATCATTTCATCTTTATTTGTCATTGTGTTTCATATTTATTTTTTCAAGAGTTAGTTTCCTTTTTGTTATATAGCATCTTATAACACTTTTAGTCTTGGAAAATTTATGTCTTTTAGTCTTGTGAATTTTATGAGTTGTTGATGAGATAGATTACAATATCATATATTTAAATGAATTCATATGCTCCACATATTTAAATGATGTCCAAGTGATTCCAAATCTCTGGATGGTTTTGCAGAATGATCAGACCGTTCACAGCTGTGCATCTTTGCTATCATGCTATCTCTGCTAAGTTGATGGGTTGGGCCCCCTTCAAAAAATAAAATGCACCCCAGAAAATAAAATGCTGGGGTCTGACCCCATTTTATTTTAGATTTGCTCGATTTGTTTTATTTTTTTTACGGGGCCCAGCCCCCTCATTCTCTTGGGGTACACCATGGAAGGATTTCAATTCCTTCACAATGTTCAGGTTCCCTGCAAAAGTGTTCAGCTATGTTCAGGTTCTGTATGGTGTTCATTTCACGTCGGCTGTGCAGCCCAGAGTGCTGCCCACGAAGTCTGTTGATTGCGCAGCGATGGTGCTACAGGAGTCGCCTTGGAGCCTTCGCAGCCGTGCTCCGAGTCCACCACCAGGGATCTGCACGAGCAGTGCACAAGGCTGACACTAGGAGCACATGGATTCCCAATGTTAAGAGTCTGCATGCTAGGCATATTCGGCATATGTCTTTTTTGTTTTTTTGTTTTTTTTAATAATGATTTGAATTGGAAAAAAACGATTTAATATAAAATTAATCCAAAAGAAAACAACCACTGTTACCACTGTTTTTATGAATTGTTTACGGCAAGTTTACGGTTCAATTTGTGATTGCTTGTGTGTTTTTATATATTTGCTTTTAATTGAAACAAAAAATGGAAGAAAACAAAACGCAGAAGAACAGAGGATTTGTCTGATTAATTTTCAAATCATAAATTTCAAATCATAAACATTCATAAATCTGATTGGACTAGAATTAAACTGAAAATAACAATAATGCAAGGCCTCTTCCTGACTCAAAATCCGAATGGGGCAAGACTGGGAATGAGGGCGTAGAATTATAGAGGGAAGACATTACATGACACTGACCTTGACAGCTTTACACATCTTTTTACACATCTTTTTACACATCTTTTTACACATCTTTTTACACATCTTTTTACACATCTTTTTACATCTGTATACAGTGAACGGCGTGTTCACCACATGTGCTCTTCAAAAGCGTAAACAAAACCTCCTTCGAAAGGAACATGCAGAAGTTGTGATGGTAAAGATGGTAAAAAAGAGCTTGTCAAACATGGTAAAAACATGAGAAAAAACATGAGAAAAACACCACGTTGTTGTGAAACAACGCCATGTTTGGCACGGCACATCGTGACATGTTTCAGTGACACGTGATACACGTCGTGGCACGTTTCAGTGGCACGTCGTGGCACGTTTCACCGCCTGGGCGGCGCCGGACGACAGGCCGCTGGCGGCCGCCGCTGCAGCGTCCTCCTTGGCCACTGCGATGGCCTGAGGTGAAAATCATGGTGAAACCTTTACGAAGTTGAGAAGAGGCTAGAGATGGGTTTCAAGGTGAAAATGGTTTCAAGATAGTGATGGGTGAGAAGAGGTGAAGAGATGTGAAGAGGTTAGAGATGTTTAGAGATGTTTAGAGTTTTCAAGTGTTTTCAGGTGTTTTCAGGTGTTTTCAGGTGTTTTCAGGTGTTTTCAGGTGAAAGGTGTGGCCATAAACATATACATATAAGCAGTATGTTTCAACATCTTCCTAAATAAATTTCTTGTAACATGTTGTAACACTCTGTGTACAGTTCCTAAAGTTAGTTCCTAAACACTTCACCCTTTTTTCACCAAAGTGTGACACTTTGTTCACCTGAACGTGTAACGAAAGTGTTCAAAGTTGTGTGGCATAGGTGTGGCCACAGGTGTGGCATCGTGATGCATCGTGATGTATCGTGATGTATCGTGTTATGAAAATGTAGGAAAAACATGGGAAAAAACATGGGAAAGACATGGGAAAGACATGGCCAGCGTTGCATCGTGTGGAAAGCAGGTTGAAGTGTGGAAAAGGTGACAAACAATGACAAACATGACAATGATTCAAAACGCTTCAGAATCATTCATGTTTCCACGGCAGTTGCACCTTGTTGCACCTTGTTGCAGTCAAGTATCGGTGCCCTTGCCTCCCTCAACTGTGGACACGGTGGAAGTTGAGCCAGCTGGTACTTGTTGCAGCAAAGCGCTGCCGAGTTTGGAGAACTTAGCAGCGCTGCGGGCTCAGCAGCTTCGAGCAACGTGACACAAAATGCTCCCTGACACAACACAAACACCACAAACACTACAAGGCTACAATTAAGGCTACAATTGCTATACAAAGTGCGTTGAATTGCCACAGAAAAGGGCAACACTGTGCCACTGGTGCCACACACTCCTCAGCATTGGCCACAAGGCATCCAAGGCATCCAAGGCACCAAAACGCGCAACTGGGCTGACCTTGCACCTTGAGCGATTGAGGAGGTCGAGGTATCGGAGGAGAAACTGTCACCAACCGACGTGGCGGCACCCAGCAATGACTTTGCGGCAGCTGGATTCACACCTGGCACCACGGAAGCTCTGCGGAAGCACCGCAAGGCGGGCGGCACTGGTTTTTCATCCTAAAGTTATGCCGAGTCATGCCCGATGTCGGCAATGTCGGCAATGTCGGCAATGCATGTTTCACGTTTACTGCATCCCGAATCTTGAAAGATGAATGGATGAATGGACCAGAAAAGCAATGTCTCGAAGATTCTCGGAAGATACAAGGACAAAGTATACGTATTATGTAAAGTATATTTTGAATATATTGGTGTCTAGGATGAAAGGATGAAAAGAATGTAGAAAGTTCTGATGACCCATATATGGTCACCATATACGGTATGACCCAAATGTTCTTGGCACCATCTGCTCCAGCCTTCTGTAGCTGCCTTGGTTCGGGTTGCGCCCATGGGGCATCGTGGGGCTGTATCATACCAAGATGTTCATTGGAATTCCATGGTGGTACATTCAGGGGGTACATTAAGGTCTTTCAGATTCTTTCAGCCTAGATTAAAACCTGCAACTTTTGTAAGTTGACTTCCAGAGTACTCTGCGGTTCATGTAGACAGTGGGATTCTCAAACCTCTAGCCAACGGGAGAGTTTTAGCATAGACCAGACTCAAATGTGTAAGAGCCCGGTAAGTCGCTGGTATCATGTGCCAGTTGGATCGAGGAGCGTCCAGAGCGTTTCCAAGTGCTCCGGCCGCTTGGTCTGCCACCTCTGCACTCGCAACTCCACTCGCTCCACTCCCTTCGCTCTTCAAAATGTTGCTGGCGACATCACCAAACTGTCCAAGACCTCGCCATGACGGCAACGCATGGCAACGTCTCCACTAAGGCCACCAGCAGCTGCAGCCAGCTGCAGCTTTCAGTTTGTTGATCTCTTTTTCAAAGACTGACGAGTTGTAACATATGAATAATATGAATAATATCTGAATAACATCTGAAGCGTGTAAAAAATAAGAAACTTGTGAAAATCATGATGACCGGCTGCAACTCGTTCAACTCATTAGCAACCGAAGAAGATTCATTGCTAGCAATTCTAAGGTAAGGGCTTTCCGAAGAAGATCCGATGACCCCAGAGGCTGAAGACAGGGCCTGAGCAGTGATTTCCGGCCCAAGCCAAGCAGAAAACTTCTGAATAAAATGATAGAAGGAAATAGAGCAGAAAACTTATTGCCCTTTTTCTTTATGAATAAAATGAATAAAACGGAATATAAAATGAAAGACGGAAAAGGCAATAAGAAAGGCAATAAGCTTATAATAAGCTTATAATTCTTATAATGTTTTGAAGGCTTCATGACATCTGAAAGGCAATGTTTTCACTCTGAAAACATGTTTGAAACCTTCTGAAATCTTCCCTTGTCTTCATTTATCTTCACATCTGAAAGGACAAGTCCAAAAGGTCTCCGCCTCCATCTTTTTGGCAGTCGCTTGAGCCACTTCCGTCGGATCATCGCTTGCCTTGCATTGCAAGTACAAAACTATCCAAGATAACTTGATAAAAAAGAAAAACTCGGTAGTAACTCGGTTGCAAGGGGTTCATGTTCTTTTTTATGTTCTACATCTTCGCTTTGGATTTTGGACCGGCTTTGGCCTTCGGCCTCATGACACCGAATATTCACTTGATGTGACACAAGATGACAGTCGATGACAAGTGCGATGCGACATCCTATGTGACGACCGGTGCTGGTCTCTCCATGCTCCAGAGCCAAAGCCATTCTGAACTATGGACCATTATGGACCTATGGACATGCTTTACAAGTCCTTTACAGCCTCTACATGTTACTTGCACTGCTTGCACATCCAAAACATTTCAAGCGATCTGTTATCACGTTGGAACCTGTTCCGACTGCTCGCAATCCCTTCGTTGATCTCATTGAATATTCCTTACCGAAATATAATTCAAATCAACTCTAAATGTCACACTATTTGTTCGTTCCATGTTCATTTGTTCTCCCTGACTCTTCCTAATTCCATTGAATCCTGTCAGCAAGGTCCTGTTATTTTCATTGTTTATGTGATTATGTGATTTATGAAAAAAAAATATGATCTTCGAATAACATTTATGAATGTTTTTTTTTAAATGTGTGTCTTTGCGTTTTTTCTTTTGCCTTTCGTTTTTCCACCTTTTTTTCCACGTCTTCGTTGCGTTTCTTCATTTCGAGTGACCAAGGACAGCGAGGACACGGCGTTCAGCGCCCCGAGGATCACGGTCTCATCGCCACTGGACAAGGCGCTGTCCAGAGACGACACGGCAGCTGCGGGACTCAAACCACCTGACAAAGACAGAAAAAGACAAGGTAAGAAGATACAAAACAGAAAACAAAACAAGGTAAACATTACAAAACAGTAAAACAAAATGAAGAAAACAAAGAAGTAAAAGAATAAGTAAAAAAAATGAAAAAGAATGAAAAAGAATGAAAAAGATGAGATACAAAAAGATAAAACAAATGAAAAGAAAAATAAATCAGGAACTTCAAACGACACTCTGAAACTCTGAAGCTTCGAAAAGACCAAGTACTTTCAAGCGGAAGTCGGTGGAAGGCCTCACATTGTGCGCTTAAAAAACACATTGCTACACTGGGGTAAACGGCCTGGAGGTGATTCCACCAGAGGTCCCGGGGTAAACGCAGCTGAGATCGCTCCTGGCGTTTCTGGATGTTCGATGAAGATCAGATCGTTTCGGAAGATTCTTCTAAACCTTGACACCTTTAGGTCTTCTTTAGGTCTTCTTTGTATTTCTTTGTCGTCTTCTTTCTCTTCTTTCTTTTCTTTGTCTTTCATCAAGCTCGTGGTGTCTCTGCTTGGATCGTCCCAGCAAGTCAGTTTTTTTTCTGGGCAGCAAGTGTCCCAACTAGTTTCTTCCATTTATTTAATGCTCACTAACTGGTGGCTATGAGCCCGTTGTTAGCCAAAGTCTTCATTAGTTGGAAATGTGTTGTAGTCACTCTATTAAATTTGTACTTCATTGTAAGTACCCATTATGTGAATAAACTGTGCCATGAATTGTCAAGAATGGTACCTAGTGAATAGTTGGGGTACGTAAAGCGCTTAAAGTCATCATGAATCACCATGAGCACGGTCACTGGTATGGTCACTGCCCACTCCTAAGCGGTCGCGAGCGACCACAGCCATGACATAGCTGCCAAGCGCCATCTGGCACAGAAACTTCAAACACAAAGGGGAAAGTGTGCCAAAAAAAACAAAGTGTGCAAACATGATCAAACATGACTGATACCATCAATTCATATCAAATCCCAACATTGGAATTGTGATTCAACTGACATTCAGCAACGAAAGAGAGAGTAGTCCAAGATATTTGGACGGCTGGAGCCGATCAAGACTATAGCGTTAAGGATCTTCAAGTGGCGTTTCACGGCGTTTTTTGGAGGCTGCCGGAGCCTGCACTTCCCACTGTGAGGCAGATGGATCCGAGACGTTTGTGAGGAACAATCCACCCAAAGCTGACCAATGAATCGGGCTGCGGGTGTCAAGCCATTCCTCAGTTCAAAAAACGAGAACACTTCATGTTTTTGTAGATAAAAACTTCGTTGAAAAATATTGGAATTCAAAGTTTGACATTGAGACATTGAGACAAGGCTGAAAAACATCAACGGGTCTGACAGGTCCACTGCAGAGTACCAGGTCGAGCAGCGACATCAGGAGGCCGGAAAGTACCATCGACCAAAATGCCTCAGACGCAAGGCTGGCTTCGCGTCCTGCCATACGCCTGCCATTTCCTTTCCTAGGCCTATCCTAGGCCTATAGGCCTCAACTTGTCCATTCCGTCTCCATTCCTTGTCCATTCCTTGTCAACATGCTCGGCCTCCATTCCCGTCCGAGGTGAGGGTAATATTCCTTGGCTCACGCAAATGGCAAGAAAAAAATAATCCCCAACTAATACGTTCTTTTTCAACTGTGAGATGATTTTTGATCCAAATCATCCCCAATATTTTTGGCCATCGACTTGGTCCTACAATCAACATCAATCAACTATGATCTCTCATGTGTTGCCTGATCTTATACCCGATCAGCCTATCCTAATCCTATCAGCTTGTCTCCGGCTTGTGACTCCTGTGACTGCTGAGCATCTGCCTCAAAGGCAGCAAGTAGTAGGCGAATGTGAGGCTGCTCGCCTCGGACGATCAAATTGAAATGTCAGCTCGTTCACAGAGATTAATAAAAGGTGTTTTTTTTTATGTTATGTTATATTACATATATATATATGTACGTATATATATATATATGTCAATATGTGAAATATTTTGGAGCGTGAACAGAATTCGACCAGACTCAACGACCAAGCGAGATTTGGAGTATTGCATGATTGGCATGACTATCCACATACAATTTATCTGCATGACTGTGCATACAATTTGTTAAGTTGCGTCTACCCTACTTTCACGTACAATGAATCTGGATTGGGCATGCGTTTAATGATGCTTAATGCCCTGGTGTCTTGGTCAACATTCCGCGGAAATAGACATATGACATATGTATGAGTCTGTTTGGACGTTCACCTAGGCATTTTTGAGGTGTTTCATGTTGGCTCAAAGTCAAGTGGAAAGGGCTCACATGACTGGAGTGGAAACCAACTTTGAATATCTTTGGATTTGAATGGTAGAAACCCACTGTAAATTGCAAGGCTTGAAGTCGCTTAGCAAAACAAGCCCACAAGAAAAGCACATTCTCCTCGCTTTCCAATGCTTTCCCATTTTAAGCGTACTATGAGTTATGAGTATACCGCTTTTTAAGATTTTTTAAATCAGATCACGTCCTCATCGTACCACGCGGAGGTCGTTCCAGAGAAGGACGTCGTGACAGCGTACCCCGACTGTGGAGAGCTTTGCACCAAACCACCGGATGGGGGTCCATCTGCCACAAACCTCGATGCGCAACGAGGCGCAACGATGCGCAACGATGCGCAATGTGTGTGAAATGTGTGTAGATTGTGTGTAAAATGTTTGATGTCACCGTTTCAAACCCGTTTTATACGTCAAAAGTGTCTCAATGCACCGTGGCACAATCTCAATGCACTGACACTGTGTGAGGCGAAGTGGGGCAGTGAGAGCAATTCTCGCAGACCCATGATGCAGAACAATTCTCGTAGAAGTTCGGCGAAAAGTATGATACTTATGCCACTTGATCTCCATTTGCTTTTTTGATACTGGCAAGATCTGGCAAGTGTACCCTGCAAATGGAGAGACATGAGGACAAAGATGTGAAACTTTGTGCAACAGAAATGTGGATTCACAATGCATTCCAGTGTCTTACAGTGTCACAGTGTTGGTCCTAAGTCCTAAGTAGGTCAAGTAGCGGGAGAGATTTCACGGCCTTCGCTCCAAGGGCAAGTGCTTGGTTCAAGTTCTCAGGACGCGCCAACTGCAAAGATATCATTTCTTCCTGCACAGAGTACTGAGATATCAGGATGTCACAACTTGTGTCACACTGTGCGACGTACTCGACGTACTCAACACTGTCACGACCTGTCGCTTCAGTGCACCACCTGACAGCTGACGTGTTGAAGTCAGTTGAAGTCAGTTGAAGTCCTCTGTTGAGGTTTGTAGAACCGCGTAGGCATAGCTCTTGCCTCAGCGTGTTGCAGTGTGCAAGAGCAATGCTATAGCAGACTATAGCAGGTGCACAGGGATCAAAATGATCAAAGCGATATCAGGGAATCAAATGCAGTTCAACCTGATATTCAAGCAATATAATGTACAATATGTAACTATGTATGTATATGTATAATGTATTGTTATGCATTGTTTTTAACATGTACTGTATTGGCAATATCAACAGATTCTCAAACTCTGAAAGCTCTCAACAAAATCAGAATTGTTGAGAGTTTCTTGTATTATCTCTCTCAACATCTCTTAACAATTTCAGAAATTATACTGCATTGCAGAGTGTCTTTTTGTTTCTTTTTGTTTCTTTTCGGCTCGCCTGGAACCATTGCATCGCCCCGGAAGTCTGCAGTAGTCAGCGTGAGAAGATCGGTTTGGGCTGTAGAAGTCGTGTTCAAAAAGGCTTGGATGAGATCTGGCCCGTCTTCCTGAGGACTGGACATAGCTGAACGGTGCAGACCGATGCACGATGAACCATGATGAACCATGATGAACGATGATGAACCATGAACCATGACAAAGCATGATGAACCGATCATTGGACCTGAGGAACTCACATTGGATCATTGAGACATCATTGGACCAAGTTGCTAGTAGTATGAATTTCCAAGCCCAGGTAGATGGCACACTGCATCCTGGTGCATGCCAAAACTTACGTGGAGTAACATACCTGGACAATGCAATCATGAACGACCAACAAGGTGACCAAGGTGGTGAACGATGTGAACGGGTGGAAAACATAGAGAGAGCAAGAGAAATTGCACGCTGCGGTCATTCCACGGGACCGATTTTGGCCTGGCGACAACTACGTGGTCCCGTGGTCCCAGTTTGTTTCGCACAAACAGTTCGTCAATCGACCGTTTCTTTCCCGGTCTTTCCCCTTGACGGGCGGAACTGTGGACGACTTGAAACTACAAGGCTCGGAGCAAAACTTGAAACTAGAGGCCTAGAGGCCTGGAGGCCTAGAGGCGTAGAGCAGTAGCCAAACAGAAACGGCACAGAACGAAACAATCGGGCATTGCAAGGATGCGGCACTCAGCCAGAAACCAGAAGGAAATATGAGCAGGTAAGACGGTAAGACCAAACACCGATGGACAACAGAATCACATACGCAGCCGCCAAACGCTACAAATGCAACAATGGTCGAAAGGATAGACAGTCAAGAGGATCAAGAGGAAGAGGTGAAAAGAGGTGAAAATGGGTGAGAGCCAAAAAAACTAAAAACTATAAGTCAAAAAGTTGGATCTTCTCAGCCAAAGAAGATCTGAGAGGTGAAAAGAATGGTTCCGCAAGGTATCGAGTTGGGCGGGTTCAGCGGATTCCAGGAGGTCAAGGCGCTTGATTGGCTATGGCCAGCGACTGGGCAGCGACGGTTGTAAAACCTGATCAAATGATATCTGATATCTTCCAAAATGGTTTCAAAATAGTTTCAAAATGTTTCAAATGATCTGCTATCTCCTCTTTCTGTTGAAGGGTTGAGTAGAGAATTGCCTGAAAAGTTGAGCCTGAAGAAAGAAACCCAGACAAAAGTGCGAACGGAGGTAAGAGAGTCACGACCCACTGACAAGGCAATGCAACAAAACCAACAAACCTCAAAAACTACGATACTTCTGCATGGAACCGTACTTCGAAGCGTTCTCGGCAAATCATGCACAGTACATCTTTACATAGCATTCCTTGAAACGGCTTTGAAACCTATTTTCACTTGAGTGCATAAGTGGTTTAGAAATGTTTAGAAGCTTTGGGCCTCAACTGTACCAGTCTGAGTGTGTTTTGTGTGAGGCCACATTCATCTAACTTCTCTGCAATTCGTTCACAAATCTCTTTGGGTCAAGGCGACATATCTGGGATCAAACACATGTGACTCTGCCAGATTGAAGGGCGAAGGGTGAGTCAAATGGGTAACATCTTTGTCAACGTTGTAATGTTGTTCAATATATGATTTTAGTTGAATGTGAATAATTTGAATAATTCAATTTTCACTCATCTTGTAAATATGTGTAATTTATTGTAATTTCATAAATTCAATTTTAATTCCATAAGTTTGTTCCTTACTTTGTTCCATACGTATGTTTCCTTACTTTGCCACTTTGCTCGCCAAACTCTGATCCGCCTTCACCGCCCTGAACTGTAGCTGAAGGGTTTGTCAGCTGTCCGCCAACCTGTGTAGATACCGCCTTCGCAGACGATTTGGAAACAAAAAAAAACACATAAAAACCTGGTGAGAAAAAAGAAAACCGCATCGGAAAGCTAAGGAATGAGATCAAAATACGTGAAGCGAGACAAATTCTGAAAACTAGAGTGACTTTGTCCAAGTTTGACCGCGGCCACACATATAACTTATATATAACTTATAAAACTTATAAAACTTATATACAAAATATCACACCTCACCGACACATGCCCCTCGCCGACACGCCTCACCGCTGCCCCATGGAACCGCAATGGCCACAGGCGGCAGAGCTCCGGCGGAGACTTCCACCTGCCACAGCAGCTCCGACGCCTTGGACACTTCGAGGCACTTCGACAGTCCAACGGCAGATTTCCAGTCCGAAACTCAGAAACTCATTCGATTCGAGTCATTCGAGTCATTCGAGTCATTGCTTGCACAAACTTTACATTCGAATCGACTTAAACGTCATTGCCGGTAGCGCGTGAACATAGCTTACGTCATAGCCGAAACGGCGTCAAGTGCAGTCAGCACATCGCTTACGCCGAGCTTCTTACATTCGTCTTACATTCGTCTTACATTCGTCTTACATGCAATTTCTTGCATCATGTTCCATTTGACTTCTCATCTCGAAACTGCCCATGATCCCATGGACTATTGCAATCAACTGCAATCAACTGCATAGTGAGTATACTTCTATAATATCAATTAATATCATGCATCGTATCTTGCATAGTGTGCATCAGACCTTTCTGCACTGAGTGTATCGCGTGACACGACTGTCTCAGCATCGTCTCAGTAACACTAAGTCGAGTACCCCTCCTCCAGCTCTGCTGACCTGAACCTGAAGCGAGAAACGAAACCGTACAACATAGTTATACATGACATAACATATACATTATACATAAGTATACTTTAACAGTAACATTATACTTTAACATTATGCTTTAACATGTTTCACATTAACTCTGGATGTTTCTGCGATGCACCGCTTCCATGCTCAAAATCTGCGAAATCGAAATGCCGCGAAATATGTGTGGGCTCAGTACCTTTCGCCTTCTCTGTGAGATCAAAGCCAATTGCATGTCAGTTGTCTGACAAATCTTGATCATGGTGAATTTGGTGTGCCAAATTGATATGGTTGTTTGATGTCAAACCAAATACAGCTGTACTACAGCTATATAACATTGTATAAATTATATAGCAATATGATGCAATATGATTATAGTACAATGCTGTATGCTTCACGCTATTTCACGCTATTTCTAGCTGTTTGCTGCCAAACAACACTGAAGTTATACAGGCCTTCTTGCAATTGTCCGCCTCACAAGCCACGTCGGCGGACCGAGTCTACAGTCGTACCACTATGACCACTACCGAGATCTACCGAGTCTGAGTTTTGTGTATTTTAGTCTGATTTTTCCCGCTACAAATGGCTACAATGATCTACAATGATCTACAATGATCTACAATGGTTTTTGTGAAGGGTTTGTGGTGCTGTCTGACTCGAAACTCGAGACCTCCTGCCTGCCACGGCCAGTTGGCTTGTCGTGCTTGTCGCGCTGGCAGCAAAGTTGGGCAACTGGGAGCAATCGTAGTTTGCAGATGCAGTGGTACAGGACCACGCGAAAGCCTGCCCCAAAACTGGCCGATTTGGACATCAAGACTAAAGAATACTAAAGAGACTGGTGGATACTGATGATGTGTTTCCGTATGTCTCTCATCTGCTGTCATCTGCTGTCAAGGGCACCAGATCAGCTGTTGTGCCAGCTACTGAAGGATCGAATGAACCAGACGCATCCAAACCTTCAGGGGAGGGGCTTTGACAGGGGCTTTGACAGGCAGACAAGCTTTGGTAGTCTCAGGCAGAATGTCTTTGGTGCAGAATCCAATGCATCGCAGCCCAGCTCCAACACAGTTTGGAAATGTTTGGAAAGCTGCAACATTTCTCATCCTAGCTGCTTTGAGTAAAATTGAGCAAAATAAGGTTTCTTGGGATTCCTGATTTGTTCTAATCAGGTGAAATGAGGTTCAGAATGTTTCAAAACACAAAGATTGAAAAGTAACATTTAAAAACTATTTCTTCGTTTCTGCTTCGTTTCTGTTTCGTTTTAAATGTTACTTTTTTGTTTCTGTTTCAATCTTTGTTTCGTTTCGTTTTTTTTTCCGAGCGGCTGAAGGCACAGGCGTCCGACACCGCGCTGGGGCCCACGATGCGCACCACGGGTGGAGCAGGAGGACTCACCGTCAGAGCGAAGACGTACTGAGGCGCCAGTGCCTGAACGAAAAAAAAAAATAAACAGATTTATGATGTTTAAACAGATAGATTAAGATGTATATTAAGAAATGTAATTGATTATGTTAATTATATGTATCGATAATGATATTTAAGACATTTATGAATATTGATGTATAGACTTTAATATGAAAATATGATTTAAAAGAAAAAATATATATATAATATTTTGAATGTCATATAGTTATTTTTATTAAGATGTTGCAATGCTGCGCAACAATGGGACAAGTAAAATACATGTTTTAAAACAATACGTCAAACAAAGCAAGCTTTCCAAATACTTCAAGTGAGAAATTGTCTTCTTTCAATCTGAATGACAATCTGAACAATCTGAATGAGATGTTGGGCAGTCATATTGAGTCATATTGAGTCATATTGAGATGTTGGGCATGTTGGGCATGTTGGGCATGTTGGGCATGTTGGGCATGTTGGGCATGTTGGGCATGTTGGGCATGTTGGGCATGTTGGGCTGAGAGGCCGTGAGACTGGAGGTCTCGTACCGAGCGGTGACCCGGAATTCATGGCTGGTCGAAGTCTGGAAGGAGAACGGAGCGAAGCGAATGCCACCAGGACGACGATCCAGGTCGGTCCTGATCTCCCTCCTCTCCCAAACCGAGGACCAACTTACATCAAGTTACCAAGCGGAACGGAGAGATATGCAGAGATATGAAGAGGAAGAGATATGGTGACATAATGTGACATACGGGTCAAAAAAGAAGACATACTGTTTCTTTTCCCGGAACTGAAAGTGTCGACAGAAAACCATGTCTACGAATCCTTGGCCTTGGATCTGACATCGAAACTGGGCTGCAAACAAGGATTCATAGTGCAAACAAGTGCAAACAAGTGCAAACAAGTTTCAAGCCAGATGTGGAAAGATCTGCCCAATCACCGGAACCTTGCCGATACTCCCAAGTGACTACAACTTGCTCGGGTGTCGATGATGTTGCTCCGTCGCAAGAGGATGTGTCAGCCTGGGTGTTTGATGGTTTGGGTCTGCTGGCTCTGCTTGTCACTAAATCCGAAGGCATTGGGACGCTGCAAGTGTAATCTCTGGGACTCCAGGAAAATGAATCGGCCACTGACATGAATTATATGAATTCAGAGCTTCTCTGAGTATACTCACAGCATGGTGCATGACACGCCGATTTCTATCCCGTTTCTCTTCCTTATTTTTCCATATTGTTCCAGGTACAGTATTGTTCCTTCATCTGTTCGCAGTCAAGGTGCATACCTGGTCTCCACTGAGAACGAGACTTGCTCACCTCGGATGCCCGACTCTCACCCCATTCCCCCTGCACATCCCTGCACTACACGACTACACCGCTACCGCGTCACACCGCTCTGTACCTGCCTTGATGTGCTGTTGAAGTGGCTTCATGTGGCTTCATGTGGTTTCATGTGGTTTCGGTTGCGGTTGCTGAGATAAGCTGAGCGGCTGTTCAATATGGTGGTTGCGGTCGGAGATGTTGGACTTACAATTGGCATAGGCTCCTGCGATGTCTCCACATTCACCACGATAGAAGCCTCGGATTCCCATGCGCCAAGATGAAATGTGAAACATTGTGAAACAACATGAAACAACATGAAACAACGAATGGTACGCCAAATGTGTTCCAGGGTTTTCCAAGTTGGTGTGCCAATTGCAACGCGACAGTCTGGTACCATGTGATGTGTGGACTCCACTGCACACTGCAGCAATGCTCACATGGTTGTTTCTGTTTCTGTTTCTGGCTGCGTGTTTCAAGATTCTCACTGATTCTCCACAGAAAGCAGACGAAAGCAGATGAAAGCAGCTCGGATAAGCTCCGCACAGTATCTGTCTGATCGAGCCAGTTCTTTACTGTTCCCACAATCTCAAGCCTTAGCCGTGATCAAATATGATCAAGTTGTGTCTTGAACTCAGCTTGATCAAGTGTATTCAAGTGTCAAGTTCCTGAATTCTGTGGACACCAAACACCCATGGCCGATGTGAAACTGCTACGAAATGTGCAAGAATCGGCAAGAGTTTACACAGCCTTTTGCAAGTTTACACTACATGTAGCCTTTTCCAGCTCTGCAAGCTTCCAAGACACTGAATGGGCGTAGTGTAAAAGCTGCTTCCCATGCTCGCCTTCAACGCTTGCACAGCGTTGAAGAACTGCAGCTGAGAGAATTCCAGCGAAAGCCTGCAAGTCACATTTCAAGAGGCGTTCTTCCCCATTCTCCTTTGGTTTTTCAAACAAAAAAGATCGAAAAATACAAACAGAAAACAAGTCGCAGAACTACAGTCTTGCAATCAATGGTTTGTTTTTTTGTCCATCTTTGAACTCCAAGTCACCCAGTCTGACTGTCCGCGAGTGCCTTCCAAGAGTCGTGGCGAAGTTAGACGAAAACTGGTAGCCCAGCATCTTTCACATCATGAATTGTATTGAATTGTATTGAATTGTAGTACTGGCTCTTCAAAGCTTTTCCCAAGCAAAGGATGACATTTTGTCACGTAGAGTTGGAATATTGATAAATATTGATTAACTGTTTGCAATACTTAGTGCAATAATCAACAGGGCATAGGGCACTGAACAGACTTAGAGCGTAATATAACAGACTCTAAGTTGCCAGATGTTGCCAGATGTTGCCAGATGTTAGTTGCCAGCGCCTGCAGCTGCTCTTCCAAAACGCCAGCGCTGCCGCTGCTGGCGCTGCCGTTGTTTCGCACGGTCCACGCCGTCGACATGGGACGCCCAGCTCCGCCCAACGACGTGGCGCCGGAGACCTCAGCCACGAGGCCACGAAGAAAAAGACGCTGAACATCGCAGAACGCAACAAAAAACAGAAAAGTCTAACAAAAAAATATAAAAATTCTAAGATTTTGCTTAAAGATATAGAACAATATGATACAATATGTAAAGATCATAAAGCAGAATCGCAAGATAGCACAGATGTAGATCTGCATAACAAAAACTGTAGATAAAGCAGAATCGCGAGTAGCAGAATCGCAAGTAGCCGATGTTGCAACATGCAACAAGCTATAAATATTATAAATGGCCTGTAAGACTCTAATGGATTCTGACGGGATTCTATGTGGACTCTATGTGTATCCTGTACTTATCCGGTTGTATCCTGAGTCCAGCAAAGGTATGAACGAACGCATGAATGAGTCCAGCAAAGGTATGAACGAACGCATGAATGAACATGTTGAATCTGTTGTGTGTCGCAAGAGTGTCGTGGATCATGTGGATCTATCACGATCTATCATCCCCGCGTGGTACTTGTGCCGTGCTCCCCTGTTCAAATGTGTTCCCATTGACCAAATTCCAAGCTGCCACCAGCCTCCCGCATTCTTGAACACTCAAGGGTGACGCCAGCAAAGCCTGAAAAATCCAACGAGACATACGACATTCAAGGGCACAGATTTGAGGCAAAATTGTGCACTTCGCAGTCTGGTATGCTCGAATGGGGCAAGGAGGCTATGGCTTTCGCCAAGAAGCTGCTTGTGGTTGCACAAGTGGGTCGTTGCTGAAAACCGCCCCCGCCAGAGCTGGTGTTGGCTTCACAGGCAAATCGACCACCCGTTCGTTGATCGTCAAAACGTCTGACAGCGTTTCGACCTGGTCACCTGAGAGTGAGGACATGTGAGGACTTGAAACAACTTGAAAGGTCACTTGAAAGGTCACTTCAGATCACAATTTGAAATCGCCTGGAAAGCTTTGACCGGGAAAGGTCTCCAAAAGAAGCGACAAACCGACGTCAAAATGCCACTACGCCAAAAGTATTTCCTTCTCACACTTTTCACACCCTGGTCCGGCCAACCAAGCAATAAGAATTCATATTCTGACCACATTGCAGCGACACATTTTGCAGCTTGGATACCCAGCTTGATGGTGGGGCTGGAGCCCAAAGACACTTGTACGTTTCGACCATTCGAAAGCCACTTGCATTCAGGGAAAGCACCTAACCTTGGGACAGCGCACGAGCGACTGGCACGCACCACTTGAATCGAAAAAGTTTTGCGAAGTTTTTCGGAAGTTGTATTGTGAAGTCCGTCGAGTCACGTCGCCAGAGTCGCTGCTGAAAAGAGTCGGTCACAGGCAAAGACGCCCTCGGGCACTTCTGTGTCTAACCTTCTCCCTTGGACGAGAGCTGTCGGAGCATTGAAGGTCAGCAAGAGCCTGAGAAACTCGGAGACGTTAACTCTCCGACAATGTCAAAACGAGATGTCTTTGTTGAACTTTCTGCTTTCTGTTTGAGCTTGAGATCTCAAAGTGATGCCCTGCCCTTCTCCCGGTTGTCATACGTCTCACCACGCGACACTATGCCACTCATTCCATGACAACTTACTCTACACGACTCACGATGCAGAAAGCGTCTACATCGTCTACATCAATTCTACATCGTCCTTTGATACGGTTTGATACGTATCACCGTATCACATATATGTGCGTTTTATGTTCGTTTGATTTCCTCTGTCACACCAGGCTACGTAGAGTATCCCTGAGTCATCTCCACGGTCTCCAGCAAAACGGGGAAGAGCCTCAGTCTTCTCAATCCGCGATAATAGGTCCGCACAGTCTGCACAAATTGAAAAACACGTAGTAACACAAGCCATCATACACTCAAATGCTGCATACATTTGCAAAGTTTGGACATGTTTAAACCACCTGAAACAATGTGAATCAATGTGAATCGACGTGATGCGTTTCTAAGGCACGTTGTAGTGGTTGAGCTGCTTGTGCTCAAGCTCGTGGTCGAGCTAGTCGTTGAGCTGGAGCTGCTGGAAGATGTCTTGGTGCAGTGCGTGCAGTGCGTACAGTGCGTGCAGTGCTCAGAGATGGCACCAGGCTGTGCCATCTGTGCCATGCTGCGATCTGCAGGATCTACAGCTGGATCTACATTGTGCATACATTGTGCATCCATTGTGCACTCAGTCTCTCAGAAAATTCTAATGCAATCTAATGCTAGATGGATGGTATTAGATGGTATTGGATGGGATAGGAAGTACCATACCGTAGGATGTGGCACTCTCTACTCAGTCGTGTTCAGAGTCTCGCCATGTCTTCCCATCTAAGGAATCTAAGAGTACTCAGTGTCACACGATCTGTCTAGACATTGAATATCATTGAGTCATATTGAGTCATTCTCACCGTACTCAAGGTATTCGGCTGTGCATGGATTCTCTCAGCAGCTCTCAGAACACACTAATAGTTTACGAAGAGTTTGTGAAACAGAGTCGAGTTTGCGAAAAGTCTAGGGATGTGGCAGATGTGACGGAAGAAGTTGAGGATGTGGTTGAGGTGGAGATCAAAGAGATGGAGACCTGCATGGCAATTGTCATGAGTTTCACGACACTTGAAAAGCGCGTTTCATGATGATGGCATTTCATGGTGATAGAACACTGCCACTTGGAAAACTCATTGGCAAGTCGGATCGAGTCGGATCAAGTCGGATCAAGTCGGCAGTTTGTTTTGGCGCAGTCGAACTTTGGCCCTGGCCAATTGTGGGTCGGTCGGCACAGAGATGATGAAGCCAGCGAAGCCCTGGATCCCCAAAATCGAGCTGAACCAAAAACCAAAAAACAAAAAAAAAACAAAAAAACGAACAACATCGAACAACATCGAACAACCATGTCAAAAGTGTTGTCAAGAGTGTGCATCTAATTCCAACCACTGAAGAATCTGATTCCAACCACTTCAGAATCGTTTCAGCTTTCAGCTTTGACATGGGATTCAAATCGAATCTCGTTCACATCTTGCTATCGATTGCACGAAAAGAATTGAAAGGACGGCATGGCACACAGTCCATAGGCACACAGTCCATAGGGTGGTATCCAAGTCACATGGACTGTTTGAAAACATGTACCACAGCGGCGATTTAGTCAAGGCTCTGCAGAAATCCCCAGGTCTGCGAGCCTCACGGTGTCCACGGTGTCCAAAAATATCGTTTGTCAAAGCGTCAAAGAGAAAGCGCTGACAATGTGCTGATTTTCGATGCCAACTTTTTGTCAATGGACATCAGTAGACATCAATCGACTGCAATGGTTCAAGAGTTATCAAGAGATATCAAGAGTTATAAACTTCGGCAAGGCTCTGGTTCAAAAGAAGAGAAGAGAAGCGGCTTCTCTCTTCCGCTGAACTTCGCAAGGCACTGACTTGAGCGGTTGCCTTGGGCGACATGTCGCCAGAAGAACCCCTCCATCTCATATGCGCCCGACTGCCAGGCCAACCATCATAGACTCTAATCATTTGCCTTTGAATGCCTTTTGCATCCTTTTGCATCTTAGTCTTCCAACCACGCGGCAAGTTAGAAAGTGATCGAAAGTCTAACTTTCTGCGACGTAACTTGGACTTTTTTGGGACTTTCTTGGACTTTCGGCAAGTTGCGTCATTGATCTGCTGTTCGAAGACATAGCTTTGCCAATTCACCGTCCAGGTGAGCTGCTGCAGCTGCCGGCCATGGTCATGGTCATGGAGACGTCGAGCCACGGCAGAGGTCGCCTGAAACTGGAAATTTCAATCTTTATCAATGGAAATATTTTATAAAAATAAAAATATATTTTTATAAAATAAAAAAAATAAAATAGATTTATTCAATTATATTTTGAATAAAATTTTAATAAGTTTATAATAAACTAATAAGTTTCACTCATGTTTCACATTGTGGAAATGGTCTGGAAATGATGAGCAATGATGTGGAAATCTGATGAAAAACATGAAAATCACCCAGCAGGCATGCTGCTGCTCGCAGGCACACATGTCTTCAGAAAAGGCACGACTGCCCGGACGTGATCGTTGTACAAAGTTGCGTTGAAGTAGTCTGCCTGATGTGTGCCGAAAGGTATCGGCAAAAAACGACATCTTTCACAGCGTCAGGTTTTTTTCGCACGACTGACATGCAAACACCACCCTACGGCCTAATGTGTGAAAACAACCATCTGACACGATGCCAAAGCTGCCCCATTTGTAGCGAGGTACCAAGGTTGCCTCAGAGGCAGCCTCTACTTCTGAAGCATCTCCACCGTCAAGGGAGAATTCCATGCTGCCGGGAATTTCGACCTCGGAAGTTCGAAAAAAAAATGAAAAACACCGAGTTGTACATGTTCGCCCCATACTTTCTTGTTGTACGTGTTTCAAAATGTTTCAACAAAATTCTGATAAACAAGAAAGTACAACCCAGTTCTGCCCAGTTTCCATTTGGTCCACGGTGGTGGACGTTGAGGATGTACTGGATGTGGAGGTGGATGATGTGCTTGATGAAGTGGTGGAAGAAGAAGACGCTGTTGATGAAGTCCTACAGGGAACGTTGAAGGCAAACAAAATTAATAAACGACTTTGACATACTTTGACTGTCATGAAAATTGTTCAAATCCAGTGCATGTTCTGCGCCTTGGTGGAAACATGATCAAAATCCGGGGTTCTTACAATTTGTGCTGCAGCGAATGTCACATCAGTTTGACATGGAACGTTTGTGTGTTTATTTTTACTTCTTGGCTAAGGATCGATGTGAAAGATGTTGAAGAGGAAGTGCTACTGGTACCTCAAGTGCATCACAGTGTCTATTGAGATTCTGATTCACTCTGATTCTGACTCATGTTGATTCGTTGTTTTTTATGTTGGCATTCATTTGTTGGTTCAATTTTCGTTCACATGTTTTGTTTGAGTTTCTATCTGGATGTGGTTCCATGTGGTTCCGTGTGGTTCTCATCTTTTCAACGCACAAAAAATGATAAGTTGGAGAAGTCGCATGATTTTTTTCATCTCGCAGTATTGGTTTTTTCCCTGTTTCAAATGTTTTCCAAGTAGTTTCTGAAAGTTCTCAAAGTGTTGCAGAAACCGTGTCACAAAGTGTCACAGTTTCTTTACAGTTTCTTCAATTTCTCACAACACGTGTGTTTCTCTCGCAGTTTCTTCTCTTTATATGTTCTCATCGTCTGCGCCATTTCGCATCGGGTCGCTGGAGCTGGTGGTCGTCGTGGTGCTGCTGGAGGACGTGGACGTCGCCTCGACGGTGACCCGACCGTGACCCTTTGGACCGTTTGGACGGACCGGGGCCGCGGAAACCTCAAGATATTTGAGATATTTGTGTAAGACATGGATAGACATGGAAGATTTGTTTTACCTAATTTCTATAGTTTTCAGTCTTCTAATGGATACATAATTATACATTAAAGATGTTTAGAGATTTTTAGATTTTAAAACATGCAGAAATGTCTGATTTTTTATTTTCAAGATGTAAAAATGTATGTGTGCATGGTTGAATAGACTTTAAATACAAATTTGTACTAAGGTACTATCTTTTCATTTGCAAAATGTGTGTAAAAATACTTCCTATATACATATATCTTACATAATGTTCTTATATCTTCACTAAAATTTCCTATGTGTCACATCTTAATAATATCTCAAAATGAATACTAGCATTTATCAAGTTTGAATCCATATATCAAAATAGTTTGAGCCATGACGTGATATATATATATATATGTATATATATATCTCTCTCTCATATTATTGTGAATCTATGTCATTGAAATCCAATCAGATCGATGTTTACAACCATGCACCCGCTGGAAATCAAGGGGACCTGATTTTAGCACAGTCAGGCTCAGGCGAGCCCTACTGGGAGGAAGTGGCTGGTTTCCATAGGCATCTGTGTTTGAGCAATATCGGCGAGTGTGGCCACTCTCATTTGCTTTGGACCCGAAATCCTTTCAGTGGTGCTCGGGGATTCAGCCATTTCAGTCAGAGTACCGCTTGCTGCTTGGGAGACTGCCGTCTCCAATTTGTGCGTTGAAGGACTCTGCAGCCTATTGGGTAAAAGAGTCCGTGTGCGATCTAGTTGTGGAGTTGGAGGTGGAGGCCTGTCGCCAGTGTGGGGAATTTGATTTACTCACACTGGTAGCGGAGCCAGCAGGCTCAAGCTGCCAGGATCCAGGGAAGTGGAAAGACATGCCTGAATCAAGCGATATTTGGTGAAGCCATTGACTCAGCCAAAGATGAAACCATCGAGTACACGAAGAAAGTTCAACTGTTGATGAGCATGTGGCCAGAAGGGAAGTGGACCGAACTTGCAACACGTCTCATTTTGGGTTGTTCAGGCATGGCGTTTCAGAAACTGCAATTGCATAGCACTGAAGTGACATCAAATGAGAAGAAATCGGGACAAATCCCATTAGAAAGGAAATATGAAGGCGCCGAGCGTGCCTTGTTTCGCTGTGCCCAAAGGGGCGATGAGACCAATGACTCGTATCTTGTCCGTGCAGATGTTCTCTGGCAGGAACTGTCCAACAAGAGCATGAAGCTTGAGGATTTGCAGGCGTACATTACGCTTCGTGGGTCCAATCTGAGTGCCGATGATAAGAAAAAAGTCATCATCGACAGTGAAACATAGTGAAACCAGCACAGATGGCAAGCCCACCATGACCCGAGTCACCGCAGCAGTCAGAATGTTAGGGGCCGGATTCTTCCAGGAAGTGAGAGCCGGGAAGAAAACTGGAAACTGAAATGTATGATGCCTCTACTTTCATGTCAGAAAATATGGACACGGAAGACCCTCACAGTGCACTGCATGCCGACACAGGTGACGAGATGACAGAAGATGACGCCTTGGATGTCCTCTTTCAAGAAGGTGACGAAGACGCCGTATTGATCACCGATTTCGAGGTCGCAGCATCGGAAGTTCTGCAAAACGGTGAAGAGCTTGCCAATGCTTTTAATGCTTACACTGAAGCAAGAAAGCGATGGAATGACAAGGTGAAATGAAGGGGCTTCTGGCCACCTTCCAAGGGAAAAGGCAAAGTTGCATTCAAAGGAGTAAAAAGCAAATTCCAGAAAGGACACCAGTCCAATCGTAAGTCATTGCAGCAGAGGATCCTGACCTCCACATGCCGATTGTGTGGAAGGATGGGTCACTGGAAGGCAGAATGTCCTACTAGGCAAGAGGCCAGTGGGGACAATCGTCCTCAAGCATCGGCTTCGTTTGTCCAAGTCCAAGATAGCCATGATGGTTTGCTGCTGGAATTTATCAACTGGCCTGCCTTTCAGGGCACCATGGATGAAGCTCTTCATAACATGGGATATTGTTTTACATGCCATGGGGAAGGGGATGATAACCTTAAACCCAAAAGTAGGCTGAAACAAGCACTCATGACATGGCATAAGACTAAGGGCTCGTGCAGCAATCATGACATGCCCAGGAGTGAAGATCGAACCGAGTCCGCAAAGACCAGATTGCGACAGAGCCTCGCTGCCCATTCAGCATCGGACGGAGTGCGGCCAAGTGAAGCATGGCCAACCAGCTCTTTTTTGCCACGTACAACGTACAGTAGCATGGGGGTTTGTCGATCTAGGGGCCACAAAAACGGTTATAGGTAGCCAATTGGTCCAAGGTTAATGGTCTCAACAGTCATGCCGAGAAACTGGTTCGTCGTTGTCCGTGTTCAATCACTTTTGGGTTTGGGAACGGGACCCTGCAGAGTGAACAAGCCCTGGTCATCCCAATCTTCGGCATGTGGCTAAAAATTGCAATAGTGCCAGGATGGACGCCCCTGCTTTTGCAAAACACCCTTTTGCGCGCGATGGGGGCAGTGATTGATACTAGTAATAGTGTCATTCATGCTACCAAATTCTCAAGAACCAATCCCATCCAACTCACCGAAAAGAGGGTTTTTCTTTTGGGTCTGAACGACCTGGTGGACGCGACCGTGTCCCAGCAGGCCGCAGAGACACACCAAGTTTCCGAAGTGTCAAAAGTTTGCCATCATGAGAATGCCTCGCCCATGCCAATCACATCACAATCCAACATACATGTCACACACATAATCCCACCGGACATTGAGAGCCCACTTTCAAGTCCACATGCCCAGCCACCACGCAGCATCAATCAATCAGGGGTTCATGCGAGTTGCTGATCAAGAAAAGAGTCTCAATCAACATGGGATTTTTGACAGTTGGCCCAGTACTCAAGAGGATTGTACAGCATGGGTGCACTCGGTAGATCCTCGGTGCTCGAACCACGCCCAATTTGCAAGGAGTTTCAAGGTCCCAGCAAAAGACTGTCATGTCTTCATTGAGCATGCGTCTGAAGGCCCTTCAGGTGCCAGGAGAAACGCCGAAGTTCAACTTCGATCATGTGAGCATGAAGCGACCGGAGAAAAGTGTGATCGATTTCGGACAGGCACGCACATCTGGGCCAGACGTATCTGGAGGTCTGGGAACATCAAGATTGGGTGGCAAGGTTCGTCGGCAAATTCGAGAAATGGGCCAAGGAAAGTCATCAACGATTTCTCCATTTTGCGCAGCTCAAGATCGAACGTGCAGAACGAGGGCAAGAACATCCCCTTTGAATGTCGGGCCGAAGACATCCACAATGAAGCCCAAGATGAAACCCAAGGCCGCTCCACGTCAGATCTATCAGGTCCCTGTGGAGAGCGTGCCGGATATGAACGAAGAGGATTTCTTCGAGCTACTGCCGATGGAGGAGGAGATGCCGATCGGTGCCCCCGAGATGCAGAACGATGGAGTCGAACATCTGGAGACCCGGATGTTGCACATGGAAGATGCCCTGGGAGGGATCTTGGCCCACTTGGAGAATCCAATCCGTGGGTCGGAAGCGCAGTAGATCCATGCCCTATCTGGGAACATTCCCTGTATGCTGGAGATCTTCATGACAATCCTGAGGATCATATAAGTGAAGCCCCCGAAACCAACATGGAGAGAAACAAGTTCAACAAGTTGATCAAGCAGTTGTCTAGGGAATTTCATGCGTGTCAAGAAAATCCTCCAGTAACAGCATCAAGAATTGACGTCCTCGAAGTTTTCTGCAATCCTCAGAGTCAGCTGACTCACCAGTGCATACAGTTGGGCCAACGAGCCATGCATTTTGGCCTACCCGAGGGTGACCTTCAAACACCGGAAGGACGCCACCAAATGTTCCAGGTAGTGTCGAAATACCGCCCAAGACACATTTGGTTTAGCCCTAAGTGCGGACCCTGGAGTGGATGGTCCAACCTTAACGGTAGTAAATCCATACAAGCTTG